CAAAGGCCAGATGCGAGCTTTTTGTAAAAATGGAGTTAGTTCCCTGTCAGCAGCAGTTATCTGCCATCGGCTAAATTAAAAGAAATCCCAGCCTTCCACTCCTTTACTGTAGATGCCGAGGACGGCCACTCTCGTTTTCGTTAGAGTCAGCGCTGCTTTTCCCACTCCCCTGTCCTCCAGCTCAACCCCCTCCCGCCCAGTTCACAAGCTCAACGCAAGACAAATTCCCATTCTCTGTCAATCTATCTATTCCAAGAGCATTTGCCAATTGGAATTTCATGGGTAATGAAAATCAACTCAATTAGAGATGCATAAAAAGGGATCGCAATGTGATTTAACACTCCTGATCTCTATAAACCGATTAGCTACAAGCTGTCACAAAAAAACGTGCTCGCTGATTGAGCTTTCGTTCCAGGCTTGTTTTTCAGACCAGCTGAGGCAGCGAGGCTGCAGGAGCTGCCTGTACACCCACGTTTACAGGGAGAGGAGCCATATATCCCAGCAGAACCAGGCACTGCAACGTGTCACAGCCTCGCAATTACTTCCAGGCCCATCTGCTCCTCCTGCACATAAAGCAACAAAGCTCGCAAAAAACAAACCTGTAATTGGCCTCATTCCTCTAGAGAGCTCTAGCAGACTTGTGCGAGGCACTTCGGTGGACTAGAGACTAAGCACAACCCAACTGGCGGGGTACGTGGTGCCGGTGGACCAGCCGGTGAACAGACTGTGATGCAGGAGGTGCCAGCCTTCGCCATCCGCAAGACTCCTTGAGTCCTGATCCACTGTCCCTCTCGGTAAGAGCAGGATGTTAACCCTGCTGTCCTGCCTAAACGCAAACAAATCCAACTGGCGAAGTAGGTCCTTGCTTCTCTGCTGTTCTGTAGTAGAATGGGGAGCGCAATGGCCGCCACACATCCCCCAGGAGGGGGTGGTGGGTGAAGTGGGTGCCCTCCTCTAGGTGATGTTGCTATGGGGGCCTCTGGGTGAGCAGAACTTAAGACAGGCAAGCAATCCTGACTAGCGCTAAATTCTGGAGACTTCAATAGCATTTGCCGTGCACTTTGCCTTCTGTGCCTAGATCTAATCCTCAATAGACAGCTACAACTGGTAAGTTAATAGACCACGTGGACAGATCTTCATGTGACAAACACAGGATTCGACCATCGCCGGAAGCACCACTCTATCTCGATCTATCTAGCCATCCTGGACAGGAGGAATGTTTTCAAGCAGCTGCAGTACCGATATTCAGCAGTTATTTAATCGGCTCATAACCCACAAGTACAGCCCTTTGTGATACAGGACACAGGCAGCACCATGCCAAAAAGCAGACCCTCAGACGCATGTTCACAGCACAGAAGCATTCTGGGAATGCCACGTTCCAGCCACACGCACCATTCTCGCTGGGTAAAACCAATGTCCTTCCATTCCACAGCTGATGGGAATATGTACCAGGGCTGATGTTCCCAATTTGAAATCAAACTTGAGCTTCTTTAAAGTAAAATAAGAACAGGCGAACAAGCTTTTTTACATCTCCTTCTTCACACAAATGTTCATGTCAGGATTTGACCCCCCTATAAAGGACTTCCACGGCAACAAACAAACAAACAACAGTTCTCAATGAAAGAAATAATTACAGCCCAAGGAAGTCTGCTCAGAGAAATAAAAACAAAATATGCAAGCAAGAAATAAAAAACTGCAAAATAACACACATTTTAAAATTTCATTATCAACGTTTTGAATAAATGTTACAGTCAGAATATTTTATAACCTCGCTAGAAAGATATGGACTTTTCCCCAGGGAGTAAGTAATGACGATAATAAATTATATGGTGTGTGTGTGAGTGGTGATTTTCTTCCTGTAAGTGGCTTTTAAAGACAGCTACAACTGTTATATCACACAGCGACTACTTACAATGCCACACCACCATAGCTGTGGGGCTTGGGGCTTTCTATATTGTTCACTCAAAATTCACACAGCACACAGAAACAACACACAAGCTGAACGGGTGCTCTTAATGGAAAGCACAAGCAAAACTGAAAACCAATTCTAGCCATGAGCAGAATTAGTCACCTGAGGCTAATAAAACTCTTCGAGAACCTTCTGTATGGATCCCGTGAAATTACCCTACTGCCACTGAACAGAGAAAAACATAAATAAAACCCATAAAGGCTGAAATTGCTCTATAATGGGAGTCTCCCATTGCACACTGGGATACTATCCTCTCCACAGGAGCGATAACTGGCTGAGGGTAAGATGAGCAGACCCGTGAAGACCTCTAACCCTTACTTGGCCTGTCCTCCTCACGAGCTCGGCGTTAAAGGGCCCGTTCGGAAATTAGCATCCAATTCCGCAGGAGAAGCGTGCTTTCATCAGGGCTTCTTACTGGCACTCCCACAGGAAAAGGGCTGGGAATTAATGGCCTTATCGTGGCTGCCTGCCGCCCTCGCCGCTCGGAAGGGCTCGGAGGAGCTGCGCCAGCGCAATCGGACCAGGGCAACTCCGACGGGACGCGGGGACCCAGAGCAGAACTCGCCAAGGACTGTCGCCACCGAGCCAGCTCCACCGCGCAACCCTCCAGGAGCAACGACTACATGAATCACCAGAAACTGGAGCTGCCCACTTGCAGGCGTGACCGGCCAGCCGAAGAAAGCCCAGCAGCACCCACACAACAACAGTCACTTACACAGTCCAGCACCAGCACCAGCAGCTGCCCCCTCTAGGCATGCCTTCGACGAGCGCAGACTCAAAGCGCACTGAGAAAGGAAGACGCAGGTGTCCATCGAGATCTGCCCCCATCTCAGAAGGAAGGTGCCCTAAGAGGGAGGACTGAGGACTGCACAGCTCAGCGAGATGCTTTAGTCAGAGTCTGGGGCCTTCGCTCAAGGTGCTCAAGCTTTGGTCACAAACGGATTTTGCTACAACAGAAAACCTTGCAAAAAGCTCAGTGACCAAATGGTTCAGAGAGCATCAAACCTGCGCGCCGGAGTGGTCCTCTCAGTCTCTACTAGGACATGTGTGTGAGGTATGAGCCGAAGATCACAGGCACAGGTCAGACAGGGCTGCTGCCAAACATCCCACTAGCGAAGCATAAGAGCCTATTAAAACTACAGGAAGCTCATCCCTGGGTTTATCAAAGCTTAGTAATGGTTTCACAAAATAGTGATTGCCAGGAAAGGAATTATTGGGAACATCACATTTTTAGAAACATATGCAACTATTCTGACACATTTTAGACATACATATAATATCGCCAGACATACAAGTGTCTGTGATTGACAAATATCAAGAAATTGTGAGTGTACACCTGGATTTACACAAGAACCAGCATTTTGTTCGAGTTCATGAAGGAGGTGAACAGCTTTGCAGGCCACTGTAGGAGTTTCAATCATCAGCCTCCTGCCCGATGCCTTTACCCTGAACATCTCACACTGGGGTGGAGCGGTGGCTCTGTGGCTGGAAGGTTGCTGGTTCAAATCCCGCGGCCGGCAGAGGAATCCTACTCCGTTGGGTCCCTAGAAAGGCCCTTAACCCCAGCTGCTCCAGGGGCGCCGTACAATGGCAGACCCTGCGCTCTGACCCCCAGCTTCTCTCCCTGTCTCTGTGTCTGTGTCTCCATGGAGAAAAGCTGGGGTATGCGAAAACACGAATTCCTAATGCAAGAAATTGTATATGACTAATAAAGCAACATTATTACATTATACTTGCACCCATTGACACACCGGGGTATTTCACTGGGGCACTTCGGGTGAAGCCCCTTGCTCAAGGGATTCGAACCCACAACCCTAACCACTGCACCACACAGCCGCCCTTAAACCCCCCCTTCAGGCCCCCTCCCTCTCGGCACCCCAGCTCTCTGATCTCCCAGCGCTGGGGAGGCCTCTAGCTCCGGTCTGCGGTCGAGCGCCGGGAGTGTCCCCCTGAGCTCCTGCAGCTCGGCCCCCCTCTCCGAGCGGCAGAAGCACCCCGACTGCCGGCTGCGCTGGGTGCGAGGGGTGACCAGATGCAGCACGAGCCCCAGAAGAGCCCCAGAAGAGCAGCCGTCAAAGGAGCTTCTGTCAAAGCTGAGCGTCCCGCTTACAGCACCCCTCCCCTCCGCAGTCACCCCCACTGTCACCCCCCCCCGCGGTCACCCCCGGCCGGGCGAGCAGAAACACACCCCTGGGCAGCGGGCGGCTTCCAGGACAACCAGCACAAACGCCAACACCCTGGGCAGTTTCACACTCAAGCCCACCGCGGGAGAGAACAGAGCACAGGGGCCAGCCCCCCCCGCCACGCCACGCCCCCCCCCCGCCACCTCGTGCGGTTTCTGCTCTGGGCCACAGACGCCAGCTCAGCTCAGGCCCGGGCCCAGGTCCAACAAGGCTAGCCTGCTACAGTAGCGCCTTCAGACAGCCAGCGAACAACACTGCCTGAACACTGCCTGAACACCCCCCCCCCGCGTTTGGCATTAAATCTTTAGTTTCATGCCGAGTGGAAAGGGACACCTCCCAACAGCTCAGAATCACAGGCCCGGCTGTAACAAGTCTATACTGTATATAGCGGTCTTTGCACCTTCTGACCCTTCGGAATATGGTGCAACCAGCACTTTGGCCAATTCACCACACACAGCCACTGTGTTGGCGAGGCTTCGTGCACGCTTTTGAAGGCGCCAGCGGCAGACCTGTCCGGTGTTGACGTCACGTCTCCGCTCAGGTGTGACCCACAGTGCGGTGCGTGCAGCTGGGAATTATGAGACGCAAGGTGTCTCGATGGCGGTCTCCGCCAGCCGGATTTTAACTCCGCTCGGTCACCTGCTCAGCGTCGCCCAAAGCAAACCCTTAGCGTGGACACCGGACCGAGGCGAGGCGAGGCGAAAGATGGCCATCGACGGACTCCCCTCCGCGTCAGGAATGAGGCTCGGGGCCGAGGTTACGCCCCGAAATCTGACACAAAGGTGCCGAGGCAGGCAAAGGGGGACCCCGTCTGCGGGAACGCGTGGGAAGAGGCGGGTCATACTCACTCGAAGGCGAAGAAGAGAGAGCAGGTCCCCACGATGAGAAACAGGGTGAGATAGAATACACCTTTCTGCCTGGCCATCATCACTCTCCCGTCACAGCAGAAAGTGTTCTTCCCGGGAAGCTTCTCCCACCTCCGAGGCGCCTTCCTGGCCACCATTACCGCCGACATGTTGGCTCCTTAAAGTATTTAAATTAAAGTTTGGGGAAAACAATGAAGCAGGCGGGGGTCAGAGTCCGATCGCTGTCTTTATCCCTACTCGGAGTCCAGCGCTGCCGGGCGCACCTCTCCGGCGTTACAGCTGGGCGATAACTCCGCCACCGCCAGCGCAGGCACCATGGTCTGGTGATGTTCGGGAAATATACGCGACAACGCCGGGGCGACGTCTCCGGGAAACGTCTTTAAAAGCTTGGGACACAATTCTGCGACCTTTGCTTCCTTGGGTTTGTAATTATTCGCATGTTCCTTTCCGGTCCTTTGTCCTTCTCTATTGAAATATCAGATCAAGGCTGCATCTTTTGACGCGGAACAGGCGTCTTTGGTCATTTCTATTATTGTTAGAATGTGGCAGCTCTTCCGTGGCGCCAGTAAAATTCATCCCCGTTCAACACTTTGCTCTTAAATGTCATAAACCCATTTTTACAGTCCCCTAAGTTTAAATCTCCGTGTGCAACTGTCAATTCATTGTGTCCCAGCCGCCCTGCAGGTCTCCATTGTCAGATTCTCCACGTACAGTACGAATTCCAATATTGTTTCCAGGGGATTCTAGGGGAAGAAAAAAATGTGTAAAGATTTGAATCCGGGGGCTCTGCTGCTCTGTCCCCTCCGGCCCTTCAGGAGAAACACATTCGGGTTTGATCAGTGCGTCTGAGGTGTGCGCGGAGCTCGTTCACCGCACGCCAATACCAGCGCCCGGCCGAAAGTAATCACGGCGGCTCGGCTTTAAGGCTCCGCAGTCCTCTCGCTCGTTTGCGGCGGTATTGTGACTTTTTGCTCCGATTCGCTCCGGGTCCCGTGACAGACAAAGTGAAAGAGGCGCTGCTGCAAAATTGCGACAAAACCGCGAGATGTATGTCGCTCCTGCTGGTTCCTTGCGCGCTGCCGCAGCGGGAGCGCGCCTGAGCGGCTGCTTCTGATCAATGGGAGCAGGAAACACGCCTTAAGGTTTTTAAATGTCCTGTCTTAAAGCGCCCGCGCACGCCGGGGGAACCGGAGGAGAAAACGGACCTTCCTCTCATAATATTTTACACAGAAGGAAACCCTATCTAAAATCAGCACTGTAGTTATTACTACTACTATTCAAAGTGTGCTTTTTGACGCATTTGTGAGAAAATGAATCCCCCTTAATGTAGGGATAAAGCAACTGAATTCGCACATTTTCGACGCAATAAAGGAGCAATCTGATCTCGACACGTAGAATCGTGGTGAACGTGGTGAACGGTGCGCATACTGAATGCAGTCATTTAGTAGAAAATGCCATTGCTATACATCATAGAGATAACAGCTTGCCAGGAGTGAAATAATAATGCCCTGCACATTTTTCTGCTTTTGCCACTAGTACCTAAATTATTAATATTAAGGCACGTTGCTGCTTTCTTGAAATAGCTATATTGTAATTTCCTCGGGGGATTTACATAAATTTGTAATTTAATCTTTCACTATCTGCTGAAATAGCTCAATTTGCATCCTGCTTCCATATGCTCTGTAAAAATTGTTCCCTGCCCTCTTCCCAGGAGACACCTTATGAGCTGGCTCCATAGTAACCTTGCATTAATTACTGTACATCACATCCTCCCTGTGTTCACTGTCGGGGATAAAGGAACAGTGCAGCCCTGTTTCAACACTGTGAGGAGCACGGAGCTCCTGATACTAAATTGAACAGTTGCACACAAAACCTCAAATTTGAATTTTAAAGTATGAATCCCCCTACGGGAAACGTCATGGGTGTTTGATTGGACAATATCATTAGCTTTCCAATATTATCGGCACTTCAGAGTAAAAGGGTTAGATTGAATTACAGCCCGTCACCCAGACAAGGTAGGACAATAGGATTGGACCGGCTGCTACAGCTCTGCCAAAGAGGAAGCAAAACGTTTAAGACAAAGAACTGTCTTTGCGGGCTTCGAGTACCTGCTGATGTCCACTCTGCCATGCATAGGCTACAGGCTTGCTATCTGCCCTCACAGCGGCCCTGATCAGCAGAGAGGGGGCAAATAAACACCCTCCAGCCTTCCCTTCTGTCACAGCTCCACTCTGTGTACCGAGCGTCCCTAGCCCATCGTGACCTTCATATAGGAGCTCTGCAGAGCTGTGCACATGGTGATCTAATCTGTAGGATATTGTACCTTCAAGGCGCATGTTGTGGGAGGACTGAAGAGAGAGGGGGTGAAAAGAACTGAAGCATTCGTCTTTATCTCCAGAAATGCTGAGAAGGTCGCGATAGGGGGTGTAGAGGCAGAGCTGAATTGCATTATCATTGAGGAGTCTTCCTATTTCCATCCACACCGGCTAGACATGTCTTATTTATGACCTGTCAGAGCCTACCAAGGCCGCGCTAGAATACTGCAGGTCTATCATTTCAGCCTGCGCCCTCGTCCCGGCGCTCCCCGCTGTCGGCTCACAGATGAAATCGATGTGCTCCGGCGTGATGTCTGAATTACACGACTCTGCGAGGGCCTCAGGCCGGCCGCGGCCGGCTTGCTTTCAGTTGCTGGTGTGGCTTTGCTGCATTTAAAAGCGAAGAAGAAATACGCACATGAGAAACCCTCGCTTGCTCCTCCGAGGTCATATAAAGGCGCCTGGTGAAGCTCAGAGGAGGACTGCTCGTGTGAAAGGATTTTCACATGGAAAAGAAGAATTACATTTGAAAGCGGGTCTCCCACAACGAGCTGCTGAACCGTTCGTTTGGATCAATGATGCCGCCATTACAAACTGTTTTTTATTTTTAATCTATAGTAGTTTATACAGCTTGTACCCTTTGTGTGTCTCACGGCCATTATCGCTGGATCTGATTTGTGTCCTGTGCGTCTCGGAGACATGTGCTAAAATGAAAGGCCGATAACCTGGGCTGCTTTCTCCTCCCAGGAGACCAGTTCGTCTGCAGTGGGAAATGAGATCCAGGTCATTAGTAGTCCTACGGTATACAGGGTTACATGCTAAAAGCCAATTTGCAATCTCATTTCTTGCAATTATGTTATACATTTATTTAAGCGTCGAACAAAAAAAATAAAATAAAAGATGAATTGGTGCAGTGTGTCTAGTTGAGGTGTTACAAATTATTTGGTATTGATGGGTATGATGCAAGGTCTTATTTTATGTCAAATAAGAAAAAAATAACTTTATGTAGGAATGGGGTCCTAGCAGTTTGATTGACTTAAAATAAATAAAACAAATACAAAACAAAACAAAAAAAAAACAACAAGATAGTTCAGGTGGGTGGCTGCGTCAGCATGTGTCGTTCGCAAAGGAACAAGTAAAGGTTTATTCCCGCTGAAAAGAAAACACAACGTTTCCTAAAAATCAAGATTAGTTTGCAACTCATTCAGTATATGAAGACTCCATTGAAATAAAATAGAAATAAATATATTACGTATGTATGTGATATTTAAATATGGTCTATATTATAAATATGGTTAGAATATATGCTCTTTGGTTTTGTCTTTATGAAGACACAGGCATGAAGACAGAGAATACTTTCTCAGTGCTCTGTATTTTCTACCACTTTACTGCAACTTCAATTTCACAGTCTAGAAAACACAGTTTCATGTGGAAAATGCACTTGCATTTGAGTTCTTGTGTGGCTGTGTCATATTCCCTTGTAGACTCGCCAGATCCTCTCCGGTAGGTGGTACAGAAACAATGAAGAATTGTCACTAAGGCTGTAAATTAGGACCATCGGATCACTGGCGCCTCACAGCATACCGAGAACCACTGGAGAACTCACGTTTTGGTACAAATGTCACTCTATCTGCTGGTGTCTATTTGTCACCAGCTTTTAATTATTTTTTCCCACCTAGCCAGGACCTGGCGTGGGCATTAGTCCTGTTCTTGGGCTCTCTGCGTGGAGGTCCGAAAATATAACTTTAAGGAACGTCAACGACTGTATAACTTAAACTGAAAACCTTTGGGGAAACTGGTTTATTTCTAAACACAGACAAGGCTTTGAACGCACTGTGAAGTCTGATCAGAAAGAATGGACCCGGAGGACATACACCAGCCCGAGATACACGCTATCTTCACTATCAAAAATAGACGCACTTTCTCGTCTGTCTTGCTCCGCGCAGTGTTTACAGAAGGCGTCTTTCACTAGGGAGAAAGGGCGCCGGATCCACGCAACCTCATAAATTTCAAAACAGCTCTCTTGGTTTTTACATCAGCCGCATTCTGTGCCGAGGGTCTGCTTTGTTTCGAGGGTGGTGCTATTCCGAGCACGAAGATATTTGGATAAACAGTTGAAATTTACTGTATTTTACGTTGTAAAACGTCTCAAAACCGATTTTGTTTTACCCTGGATCGGAGAACTGCAGCTCTGTTTCCCCCAGTTCAATACGTGGCTTGGTTTAGAAAGATGCTGGAAAACCCCACCAACTGAAGTTCGTGTATTGTATTAATAAATACATGTCAAGAAACTAGAATAGTATATACACAATAAGGAAAACAACTACCCGCCTTAAAATAAAGCACGGGTAAAAGCAGGATTTAACAAGAGCTCTATGGCCAAAACCTTGCACTTTTTTCTCCTAACTTTTCAACATAGAAAAAAAAAACTACTTTGCAGCTCGCAGGACGACACATCTCTTGCTCCAGCCGAATGATCTCCCCGAGTCCTGCTCGGCGGAATAAATGCGAGGTTTCTTGAGACATTATATAATAATAATAATAATAATAATAATAGGAAGAAAAATCTACTGAGAACGCAAATGAGGCATCTTTGTCAAAAAGCAGCTGTGAAATCGACCGCACAGATTTACGTGGATGGTGTGCACCGTCGTGGACCCTTTCCATCTCCCGGACGGTACGGGGTGCCACAGTGCTTATCAGACAGCATGTCGCGGCAGGGCACGTATTTCCTACGCACTCGGCACTACAAAGCGACACACGTGGCCGCCGGCCGGGCCGCGAGCCGCGGGACAAAGGCTGCAGCCGCGCGGGGCGAGGCGAGGCGAGGCGAGGCGGTGACGTCAACGCGCCCGACGCTGCTGTCTGGCAGGACCCAGCGGGACACCTAGATACTCGCTGAAGGCGGCAAATGAATTCGGGGTCGTGTTTTCAATAATTCATCTTCTCGGAAATCCTCAGGATCACCCAATTAAAATTTGGGCGGTTCGGAAAGCATTGACTGAGCTCTGCCTTATCCACAGCAAGCACTGAGCCAGGACAGACCTCTGATCCCCACGCCTGAACTAGGTCTCTCCTCCCCGTCAAAATAATGTTCTAAAACTGGACGAGCCGCCGGCTCCAAGTGCCGTGGCTACTGACAGCTCGAAATGTGAAAACCGTGCAAACCATTTAATATCAAACAATCCTTTTACAACGCAAAACCCCATTCCATACCTTTGAGAATATCTAGACACGCAGAGAATGCTTTGGAAATACGCCTTTTCTTTGGACGCTGTTGTACTTTTATTTAAATTCCGATAACTGCGCTTTCAAAGGCCGCCGGTTTAGGTGCGGTTCATTTTCTGTTATGAACTGGAAATCCGTTAATGTTTCTGTGATGTATATCTAGTTATCTTTTCTTCAGCTGTGAAACACAGTAAATAGGCTTTCGAAACCCTTCATTCAGAAATTATGCTTATAATTAAAACATTTTACTGTTAAAATCTTAATGTCCGTCTTCAAGGGAGTCTAACTCAATGTCTTTCCAGCTCATGGTTACAGTGCTCGAAAGCGCTCACAGTACAACGAAACAAACGTGACTCGCTCCACCTAGTGGCAATAGTCTGTCACTACAAATTATCGGACATTCGTGGAAAAAAAACAGCAAACTATTTTCAGTCCTTGCTAATTTGATGTGGATGGGGTATTTTGGTATGGGGAAGGAATTTCAGCTCTGTTTACAGAGACAGTCTGCCATTCTTTGAGCTCCGTGAAATTGTCCTACCCTCACAGCTCTAAAAGTTACCATTTCAGAGGCGTTGGACTAAAGTCCTGACTACTTGGTGATTAAAAATCCCATGTTATTTTTTAAAAAGGATAGGGGTGTGTCTTTGGCTAATGTCCGATCTTTAAATTTCAATTTCATAGCTCTGCACCTCATCTGCATGCAGCGAGGTGGCTGAAGTGAGCTGCACACTTCAGAAATAGGCTCTCTTATTTCTGAAGTGTACACACGTCTCCACACCCACCAGTGGCAGTCAGAGTGCCACTGGGATTTTTAATGACTACAGAGAGTCAGGACCTCAGTTTTACATCTCATCTGAAGGACGGCGCCTTTTTACAGCGTATTGTCCCTATCACTGGTTCAAGTGGGGAGATGCGTCAGCATGCGCAGGCTGCAAAAGGACAAATAATAGGTTTATTCCATGCTGAAAAGAGAAGAAAGAAAACACAACGTTTTGTCTGTGGAGCCTCCTTCAGGTGTCACACCTCGCATACCTCACTTGTAGCCTACGTTATCACACCTGAAGAAGGCTCCACAGCTGAAACACTGTTAATTTTCTTCTCTTTTCAGCATGGAATACACCTTTACTTGTTCCATTGTCCCCATTGCTATAATGGGACATTAGGACCCACACAGACTGCAGGGTGAGCACCCCCTTCTGACCCCTCACTACTTCCAGCAGCGGCCTTAGCTTTCTCAGGAGGTCTCAGAGCCCCTCTAGGTGTATTATTTTCTATGGTACTATAAAACGGAGGAAGCCATATTGAATGCGGTTGTGTCACATAAACCCGGGGGTGATGCCTTTTCTGTCGAGCGTGTGTAGGAAGTGTGTATTGAAAGTGATACACTTCGACCCCCTTCTGGGTTTGAATTCTTAGATGATCCAGTTCTGCACGCGGGACTAGGTCAAAAAAAAAAAAGCGGTGAGATTTTGAAACGCCCACACTGAAGCTGGTTGCTCACGCCTGCCTTCTGCGGCTCTTTCATCTGGGTCTGTCCGGGACTGCCGCGGCGTGGGGAGGCTATGGACGTCGATATACCTGCCGTGACGACACCTGTACGGTTTGCGCAGTCATACAGGTTTGTGAGATGGAAAGCGACTGAACGACAATCCTCTGTTCGCAACCGCCCGGGTGTTCCTGTGTCCGTGACCACGCCCCCTCCGTGTCGCACACCAGACCCGCTCTGGATGGGCGGCTCAGCTTGGCGTTGAATAAGAAGCTGATGTACAGAAGTCTTTATTAAGTAGCTGACTGAAGGGGGACAGAAATATCGAGTGCTTAATATTACCTCTTAAAATAGTTTCAAGTTAGTTACTGTATGTGTAATTATTCTTGTGATTTCCTCAGTGTTTCAGATGCTTCTTCTGTGTGAAGTGTCCTCACCTGCTTTCAGGTTCAGATGCAGCACTCCGCACTGTTATTTCACTGTTCAATATAAATAAGTTCATTGTTTAAAATGCGTCTTACTGCACGTTTATTGAGAACGGCCCCGCCCCCGATCCCGCAGGAGGTACCTGGAGGAGGTGGGCGCGCTGGATCGGAGGTTCTGCCTGCAGGAGCGCACAGAGGGCCTGGTGGCCTTGCCCATACTGCCGGCCTGCCTGGCACAGCTGGACCTGCAGGCCCTGCAGCGCACTGTGGCCCCGGGCAGCACCTGCTGCATCGCTTACATCCGGGTAAGAGCAGGCCAGTGGACTCGGGGAGAGGGGCAGATCACTGGGGCAGCTCTGTGGACTCGGGGAGAGGGGCGGATCACTGGGGTGGATCAGTGGGGCAGCTCTGTGGACTCGGGGAGAGGGGCGGATCACTGGGGCGGATCAGTGGGGCAGCTCTGTGGACTCGGGGAGAGGGGCAGATCACTGGGGCAGATCACTGGGGCAGATCACTGGGGCGGATCACTGGGGTGGATCACTGGGGCAGCTCACTGGGGCAGATCACTGGGGCAGCTCTGTGGACATGGGGAGAGGGGCAGATCACTGGGGCAGCTCTGTGGACTCGGGGAGAGGGGCAGATCACTGGGGCAGCTCTGTGGACTCGGGGAGAGGGGCGGATCAGTGGGGCAGCTCTGTGGACTCGGGGAGAGGGGCGGATCAGTGGGGCAGCTCTGTGGACTCGGGGAGAGGGGCGGATC